GCTATATAGCATTTATATTAGATTTTATAAAAACATTATCAGTAATTATTTAGATCCCACGGGGCTTTTACTCGCCAGTACTTTTTGTTTACTCTATTTACCTCTTTATTGAGTTTTATTAAATTGCAAGTAGCATCAAATGCATTAATACAAGAAGCTTAATAAAAACTAGAATTTTGGCTTATTGAGATAGTTGTAAGGCAAGTTTCAAGCAGTTTGATGAAGGTTCCCAGTCTACCTCCGGAACTGTTTTGTTTTGTGTTTTGATAATAACCATTCTTATGGTGTGAAGTAGTTATCTCTTGTGGTTTTGATTTGCATTTCCCTAGTGGTTAATGATCTTGAGCACCTTTTCATATGCTTATTAGCTATTTGTGTGTCTTCTCTGGATAAAAGTCTATTAAGATTCTTTGTCCATTTTTAATTTAAAATTTTTAAAAATTGTTGAGTTGCAAGTGTTCTTTATATATCTGCATAATAGATATTTATTAGATAGATGATTCACAAATATTTTCTCCCATATTATGGGTTGTTTTTTCACTTTCTTGATTCTGTCCTTTGATGTACAAAGGTTTTTAATTTTTATGAAGCAATTAATCTAGCTTTTTCCTTTGGCGCTCGTACTTTTGGTCATATTAAGAAACCTAATCCAGTGTCAAATAACTCTATAAAGATAGTTTTACAGTTTCAGCTCTTACATTTAAATCTGTGATCTATTTTAAGGTAATTTCTGCATCCGCTATAAAGTCGGTGTCAAATTCATTCTTTCTCATGTGAATATCCAGCTGTCCCAACATCATTTATTGAAAAGACTATTCTTTCCCAATGTATTGCATTATTTTGATATCCTTGTTGAAAATCAATTGACCATAGATGCATGGGTTTAGTTCTGAACTTTTAATTCCATTCCATTGATCTATATGTACTTACATGAGCACCACATTGTCTTGATTACTATGGCTTTGTCATGAGATTTGAAATGGGGAAGTGTAGACCTCTGACTTGGTTCTTTTTTCTTAAGTTTATTTTGGCTATTTTGGATCCCTTGCATTTCCATATGAATTATAGGATCAGCGTATCAATTTCTACAAGACAGGCAAATGGAATTTGATAGAGATTATATTGCATCTATAAATCAACCTGGAGAGTATTGCCATCTTAACAATGTTAGGTCTTTAAATCCAGTAACACAGGATGTCTTTCCATTTACTTAGGTTTTCTTTCATTTCTTTTAATGATGTTTTGTAGTTATAGTATATAACAGGTGCTCCATTTTATTTTTCAAGCTTCCAACATATCTATAGTAGCTCCCCTGAATTTATTTTTTCTCTTTGATTTTTTTCTTTCACAATTTCGATTTCTTCATCTTTTTGCTCTATACTCTGGAAGTATTGAGAAGGTCTTATAGTTTACTAATTCAGTTTTCAGCAGTATCCATTTTTTCTATTAACTGCTTCCATAGTTTTTTCAACTTAAATAGTCATTTACTGTTTAATTTCCAACAACATTCTGGTTTTCAGATTGCTTCATTTTCACAACCTGCTTGTTACTCTTTAAATTTCACTGAGAACATGAGCAAGATTTTTAAAAAAGTTTTGTCTTATTTCCTGCATTAACTCCATTTTAGTGGGTGATATTTGCTCTCATTTGGTCCTCTTCCTTCAAATGGTAGATTCTCTTCTTATGATTGGTGATTTTTTTTATCTGCTCATATTTATAAGTGAAGATCTAGGTCATTCAGCATTGGTAACTGGCATCCAATCTGGAATTAGAGAGACCTTTGTTCGGTTCCCCACAGTGTATCTTTCCCTCTGATGAAGATAGTGGTAGGTTGGTTTTCCTTTCCAGTGAATTGGCTTTGAGTGGGAAAGTAGTAGCACCCTTTCTTGTAGAAGTTGAATTCTATTTTTTTTTTTTTTGAGACGGAGTCTCGCTCTGTCACCCAGGCTGGAGTGCAGTGACACAATCTCAGCTCACTGCAAGCTCCGCCTCCCGGGTTCATGCCATTCTCCTGCCTCAGCCTCCTGAGTAGCTGGGACTACAGGGGCCTGCCACCACGCCCGGCTAGTTTTTTATATTTTTAGTAGAGACGGGGTTTCACCATGTTAGCCAGGATGGTCTCGATCTGACCTTGTGATCCACCTGCCTTGGCCTCCCAAAGTGCTGGGATTACAGGCATGAGCCACCACACCTGGCCAGAAGGTGAATTCTTATGATAATACACGAGTGTACTGAGCCCCTAAGCCTCAGATCTTAAATTGAGAGAAAGGGAAACACAGTGAGGAAGCAAAGAAATCAAGTATTTGCAGCTTTGCCCAGGAAAGAACTTTGGATATTATTTCTAGCACATGGAACTTATAGGAAGAGAATAGTCTACTAAGTGTCTAAGGAAATTGTAAGGTCAAATCAGCTATAAACCTGGCCTTCAAAATACCTTACATGTAGTCCGGGAGTTGTGGCTTATGCCTATAATCCCAGCACTTAGGGAGGTAGAGACTGGAGGATCGCTTGAGCCCAAAAGTTTGAGACCTGCCTGGGCAATATAGTGAGACCCCATTCTCCACAAGAAGGAAAAACAAACAAACAAAAACAATCAAAAAACAAAACAAAATCCTCAAGTATGAAAGAACCCTCAGGACTCCAAACTTATACTAGCAGGAAATGTGCTGCAAAAACTGTGAAATCTCTGAAGGGCTTACTTCCCAGTGTGCACTTCAGATATCGTCACGGAGAATAATGAACAAAGAATAATATTCCAGAGTGTGGAGCCAAGGACCACAGAAATAAATGCAAAATGGTGTTCATCCTTGAGAGCAGAACCAGGAGGTAATCATAGAACTTCCTCCACTGCCAAGGCAAAGGATTGTCACAGTAACTACCCAGGATTCTGCCATTTATGTATGAACTCTGCTGGGAGTCTCATATTTTTCACTAAACTTAGGGTTTTATAGAAACACTTGGGAATCACTGTTATGGGAGAGAGTGGAGGGATGCACAGGCAGTGATCACAGTCAACACTGAATAGTGTTCCAGGCTGGGCGCGGTGGCTCACACCTGTAATCCCAGCACTTTGGGAGGCCGAGGCAGGCAGATCACCAGAGGTCAGGAGTTTGAGACCAGCCTGCCCAACATGGTGAAACCCTGTCTCTACTAAAAATACAAAAAATTCTCCGGGCATGGTGGTATACACCTGTAGTCCCAAGTAGCTGGGACTACAGGTGTGCACCACCATGCCTGGCTAATTTTTGTATTTTTAGTAGAGTCCGGGTTTCACCATGTTGGTCAGGATGGTCTCCATCTCTTGACCTCATGATCCACCCGCCTGGGTCTCCCAAAGTGCTGTGATTACAGGCGTGACCCACTACACCTCGCCTAATGCACCATCTGAATCCACATAGCCCCTCCCTGAATTCTATATTATGATGGAGTCAAGTAGCTTGGTCAGGTTTACATAATAGGTAAGTCTTAGAGCCAGGATTCAAAACTATGGGACCTATCTTTAGAATATTCACTCTGAACCCTATCATCTTTTATAATTATGGAGGTCTACTGGGCATGATGAGGGACATAGAAATCCCAAAGGGAAGGCAAGGCATATAAACGAATTCAGGACAAAGAAGCGTGAAATGTTTTTGTTTTTGTGTTTTTTTTTTTGGGACAGAATTTTATTCTTGTTGCCCAGGCTGGAGTGCAATGGCGCAATCTTGGCTCGCTCCAAGCTCCACCTCCAGGACTCAAGCGATTCTCCTGCCTCAGCCTCCCAAGTAGCTGCGATTACAGGTGTGCACCACCAACACCCAGCTAATTTTGCATTTTTAGTAGAGATGGGGTTTCACCATGTTGGTCAGGCTGGTCTCGAACTCCTGACCTCAAGTGTTCCACCTGCCTCGGCCTCCAAAGGGCTGGGATTACAGGTGTGAGCCACTGCACCTGGCTGGGAGTTTGTTGTCTAATGAAGATGACATTGAACTCTCTTCAATATACCAGGATATATAGATTACTCTCACTTTTACCTTTATTAGGGACTTGCCTTGTTTACTGATAAATCACCACCACTACTGGTATATTATGCCATCTAACTCACAGTGGGTGCTCAATATCTGTTGAATGGATGAAGAATGAATACCAAAGTCCTGTAATATTAGACTAAGGTCCTTTAGTGACTGCCAGATTTGCTTTCACATTCTTAGGGTCTAGTGTACTTGGCGCTCAACAAATGGCCCTTGAACTAAACAGAGAGAAAACTGCACTGGTGGTTTTACTTTAAAGCTGCTCATCTTTCAGTTTCCTTATCTTTAAATTGGAAGGTGTTCTGCTTCTGCCCAACCCCCACACACTCTACAGACCTAGGCCTTGTGGTGGTTGAATTTTCCAAAAGATTCTCACCTGCTTTAACTTCCTATGAGCTTAGTTTATATTCACCAGGTGAACTTGCAATTTCAGGTTTCTACAGTACTGTCTTTTCCACGTGTATGGCCAGTTCTCGTGACGAGTTTACTAAGTGACTTTGGATTCTTTTTAACTATTGCTAATTATCTGCACCTTTCTGTTGTAGTTATTTTAAAGCCCGCCCCCGCGCGCGCGCACACACACACACACACACACACACAGCGCTATTGCTAATTATCTGCACCTTTCTGTTGTAGTTATTTTAAAGCCCGCGCGCGCGCGCACACACACGCACACACACACTCACACTTGAGTCAGGGTCTCTGTCACCCAGGCTAAAAGCGCTGGGAATACAGACATGAGCCACCGCGTGGGGCCAAAAACATACGGATTTTATTTACTAAACCTGTATTGTGTGCATGACCCAGAATTGTGAGAGTACAGCAATGACTGAGAAAGCCATGTTTCCCACCCTTGTGTGTTTTTAAAGGCCCAACAACAGGGATTCAATTGTAAATTAAAAATATTTCAGCTCCTTAACCCCGTAAGGTACAAAACATGATTGAAAAAAAAAGACAGCTATGTCTTCCGAGTGGAGGAGGGAAAGGACAAACCTCGAACAAATCATTTATCTTGTTAGTCACAGCTTAGCGATGCCTTGAGTTATTTTCCGGTGATTCCAAATTTCCAGTCCATTCCCTCTGCATAGATCAAAAGTGACAGGAAAGAAAAAAATGTATTTCGGATACGGCAAAAAAGAAAACTGCAGGACAAGCAAACAAAAAGTACTGGGACATCGTATGAGAACTACTTTAATTGACAATGTCTTTAAATGGTACCTAACACTTGACAGTGATTCCAACCCACCCGGGCCTGGGCATCACGGCTGCCTCCCCACTCCCATGCACACGGGGAGCTCTCCCAGGCTGTACTGCACCAAAGGCACTCAAAATACATCAGCCTTTCCTTACCTAGATTCTTCCACCACATCTAGCATGGAGCTGCTGCTTCCAGAGGTGTAGTCGCCTATCTGTGGCAACAAGTAGTTTTAAAAATGGAGCTGCATCTCTAATAACAAAAGTCGCCAGCTGTGAAAAGTGGAGCGAAATCTCTCTACCGGGACGTAGCAGCTCTGGAGAACCTTTTCCCCGCAGTCAAGGCCCAGGGCCAGCGGGACGCCGCTGCCCTGGGGTGGAGCCGTCCCCGTGGTCCCGGGAGGCTCCCGACGAGCAGGGGCCCGGGGCCGCAGGGCGTGCTACAGGAGGTGCAAAAGTCGGCTTGGGCCGGAGCTCCAGGGTTTGTTTGGTTTTGTCCGCTCCCTGCCCCCACCCTACCCGCTTTATGCAAAAGGCCAAGGGTTTCCGAACCAACACTGCCCAGGCCGAGTTCACGCTTGGGGCTCTTCAGCCGCCGTCCAGTGAACAGAGAAAGCAATCGCGCAGAGGCGAGAGCACGCTGAATGAACGCGGGCTCCGGGGGAAATAATTTCCTCCTGACTTCGCGCGTCAGGACACTGGGGTGCAGCCCTCTTTCACAGAAGACCCCCCCCGCGCACAACCCCTTGTACACTCCCGCCTCCGCACTCCACAGGGACCGCACGTTCGTCAGTGCGGCGGGGTTTGGGAATGGAGGCGTGAGGACCGGGCACCGAGGGCTCCACAAGCTGGGCGGGGGGCGTCGTTGGAGGGGGTGGGGAAGAAATGCGAGCCCACCACTCTCACGGAGGGCGAGGGACCCCCAAAAGCCACTCGCGGGCGCCGAGGCAGCGGGAAGGCGAGAGGCCGGGCGGGGGGAGGGGGCGCGGGGGTCCCAGCCGCGGAGGCCAGGGCCGGCGGGAGGGGCAGCACCTGAGGAATCCGCCTCCGGCTGCGGCGGCCGCCGCCTCGCTCCGCCCCGGGGAACTGAGCGCGCGGACCGCGCGCCTGCCAGAGAGACGCCAGCCGCCGGCGGCGCTAGCACCTCGGAGGCGGGCGACCGGAGCAGCGGAGCGCAGCGCGGCGCAGGGAACGGCACTGGGGGTGGGGAGACCAGCCTGGCCGAGCCGAGGGCCACCCCCGGTCCTCTGCCCTCGCGCCCCGCCAGGGCCAGGTGAGCGGCCGCGGGGACTCCGGGGCGCGGGCGGGGGGTGAGAGGTCGCGAACCGGGCGCGGGAGCTCGCCTGTGACCGGCAGTAGCTGCCCTTTGGCGGGCTGGACGCCCTGGCCGCGCGGGGAAGCGCCGCGGCGGACTTTTCCGGAGGGATGGGAAGCGCAGCGGGGGTGTGAGCGGAGCGCGTGCGGGTGGCGAGGGAGCGCCAGTGCCAGCCTGGGGGCCGCGCCCGCCCTCCCTGCCGCCTCGCGTCGTCCACCGAAGGGACCCGGCCGTGCTGTCCGCGCCCAGAGGCCGAAGGCCTGTCACCGGGCTCTACTCGCTGCCTTTGTGGCGGGAGCGAGGCGGCCCGGGGGTGGGACGAGGGAGCTGCGGCGCGCCGAGCAGCGCGGGGGGCCTGGGGCAGAGGCGGCGAGGGGGCGCCCGGTCCGTCTCCCCGAGCCCAGGGGCAGTGAGGGGGTGCCGGGCAGGCGGGCGGGCGACAGGTAGGGCGCCGCGGAGGTGGCGGGGAGAGGATGGATGGCGCTCAGCCTGGGAAAGTTGAGAGCGTCCAGAGGTGGCTGGGCGCTCGCTCGGTGTCTGTGGGTTTTTTTCCTCCACACCAAATGTCACTTCGTCACAAGCGGGCGCGCGTGTCTTCCGGCCAGCGTGTCCATTTTTCTGTGCATGGCTGAGGACCACTCTTATTCCGAATGAGACACAAAGAGTTGTGTTGACAGCTGACCCTGACACAAGCAGACAGCGAGTGAGGTGCGCCCTGGCCGGGGAGGGTGAGGGAGACTCGTTAAAGGAAATCCATTCCCGCCGTCCCTCTTCCCAGATCCATTAAAAGGAAATTACATGTGGAGATTCAGTGCGTGGGGTTTCTCAGTTACGTGAGTCCAAGGAACGTCCCCGAACGCGACTCATCTGCCCGGAACGGCCGCTACCTCTAACCGAGGCTGCGGGTCCTGGAGAAGCTCCTCAGTCTTGCCCCTTTCTCTGGTGAACGTGACGGTTCCAAGGTCCTTATTCTCCCCACGCGCCCCTCTGGCCCTGGCTGAGAAGATAGAAACCACATTTTCATTTTTGCTTTTCATACCGTAAGGTTTTTTTTTTTTTTTTTTTTTTTTTTTGGTCCCCCGCCCTCCCCGTCCCGCCTTGAGGCGGGAATCCCTGCTTAACTCACATTTTTAAACCTAGCCATTTAAATACAGGGAAGAGCTTTCCCACAGAAGGTTTTTGAACTCAATCTCACTTAATAAAACCTCTCATTCATCTATATGTTTTTAGACTTTAAATCCTGGAATTCTGCTTTTGAGTGTTGTGACTGTGGTGTTTCTTTGCTGAAATTTTCTGGGAGGTTTTATGAATGATACTGAAAAAAGAAAAAAATTAGTTGAGTATTTAGTAATACAATTACATGCATATAGGTATGTATTTCAAGAGGAAAATGTTGAATGAATGAATACTGAAAAGTAATATAAGTAGGGTAAAACATTTCAAACAACAGTGAAGAGTATACAGTGTAAATTAAGCCCTCTCTCCTCCCCTCCATACAAGCCTTCATCTTTCTCAGAGGCAGCCACTGTTGCACGTTTTTTGTATATCTTTCCGTAAGTCTATTAAAATGGAATTACTTTATAGATTGATATATACAAGAGACTGAATATAAGACTGAACTGTATATTCGTGGTGATGACTATTAACTTGATACCCACGCATAATGACATGAGATTATTTAGCCAAATGTGGACAATTATTACCTTGAATATCAATTAGAGGACTAAAAATCTTAGAACAGTATGCAGTGGAAAGCAAAACTATTAAACTAATATCTTCTCCCGCACACACACCAGTTTCCCTACACTGGTTTTTGCAATCTTTGTTGAATTTTTTCTCCATTTTGGAATTCTTTATGAAGTAGAGAATGAGAACTGTAGTAGTTTACTTTGTCTACTGCAGTGTGTATCTGAAAACACTGAAAGGACGTGTATATACTCCCATTGACATGACATAATAGAAAGATGTTAGTGGTAAAGGATCAATACGAAGGCCAAGTTTAAGATGTTTGGTTGCATCTCTTAATTCTGGGCCTGGATTTGCCACAAACCCGCCACACAACGTAACTTTTTTTTGGAGATACGTTGTTTCCCACTCAAAGGAATTGAACTAATTGATTTTTAAGGGTCCTTCGAGCTCCAGAGTTCTGTGATTAAAATAGTTGTCCCAAAACTGGCTAAAGATAACCCTTGGACTGTGGGTGTTAGAGAGTGGGGTGACAAAAAACATTCCTGAATGGTGGATTCATAAAGAGGAAGTTAGAGATGTTTAAACTATATCCCTGCTCTTATGAGTTTGATGTCATAGGAGAACAGCTACTCTCCTTACCCACAGAATATGTGTTTACGTTGCTGATGGAGGCCAAACACCGGGCTGAGGGCCTCTGCATGTCACCTTGTGTGGCTAAGGAGAGTGAATTCCCACAGCTCAGAGTGCCATTTTTAGGAAAATTACTCTTACCAAACTCTTCTTTTTGGTCAAGTGGAAGTAAACTTTACCTACTTGAAAGAGACTTGACATAATTAATACTTTTCTGAAGTGTTTAGATTATGAACATCCCTTATAGCTAAGGTATTTTAGTTACTTGATAAATATTCACTTAGGGAGTATGTTCTTATTAGGAAACTTCTAATTTGTAAAGTACCTGCAGCCTTTGGGCTAATGATGGGGACAGGAGTTGAGGAGTGATTGTAAAGTTGTGAAAGTAAAAATAATTAGCTGATTTTAGTCACAATGTATGGTCTAAATTAAGGGATTTCAAAGATACCTTGTAAGCGGTGATTGCAAAAAGTGTTGTTGTTAAGATACAGACCTCATACTGAAAGCTAAAACTTTCTAAAAGCACCGCCGATGAAACATATGTAATTATTTTGAATAAGTCTAATATAAACGAATTATAAATTCGCTTTAGGAGTTGTTTGGGATCCTAAGAACTAGAAGAATATATTTGTAAGGGTACTTAGAGTAATATTGATTAACAAAGCTGACAGAAACAAAAGAAAATTCAATACCAGTAGTGAAATTCCTCAAAAAGGTAATAGTTTTTTTTCCAGCGCCCTTCCCAATCTTGCCATATGAATAAATATTTTTACAAATGTTTTATACTGCAGATAATTTTCACCCTGATTTTTTATAAACATTTTTTCGATAGCTTACTTCCCGTTATTTATAATAATTTTATAAAAGTTTATGCAATGGACGTTCATTATTAACTTAAACCTTTTTATTTTTGATTTTCCAGCATAAAAAACATAATGCCTATTATTATTGTTATTATTATTATTATTTTTTGAGACGGAGTCTTGCTCTGTCGCCCAGACTGGAGTGCAGTGGCACAATCTCCACTCACTGCAAGCTCCACCACCTGGGTTCACGCCATTCTTCTGCCTCAGCCTCCTGAGCAGCTGTGACTACAGGCACCCACCACCACGCCCGGCTAATTTTTTGTATTTTTAATAGAGATGGGGTTTCACTGTGTTAGCCAGGATGGTCTGGATCTCCTGACCTAGTGATCTGCCTGCCTCAGCCTCCCAAAGTGCCGGGATTACAGGCGTGAGCTACCATGCCCTGCCTATAATGCCTGTTCTTATACAAGTAACTTTATTTCTTTTCTTCTTTTTCCCTTAACTTCCTTAGGATTGTTTTTTTCTGGAGGGATAGTATAATGTAGTTGTAAGTGGGTGGGTTCTAAAATTAGAGGTTCTAGGTTTAAACCTAGCTCCATTACTCATTGGCAATATTGGACAAGTAATTTATTTTCTCAGAACTTTAGCTTACTAAGATGTAAAATGGGTGATACTAATAGTTCTTTAAAGTTAAGATAAAAAGCAATAACACATGAAACACATAAATGTTAGCTCTTATTTTTGTCAGGAAATTTCTAGATTTACAGTAATTTCCACATTACTTTCTAAAAGGACTATATAAATTTATACTGTCATTAATAATCTATGTGTGTGCTTATGTTAAAACATATTTTTGTTACTAATTTGATCACTGTAACATTTTATACCTTTCTTTTGATTTGCATTTCTTTGGTCTTATACAAAGTGAGGAATCGTTTTTTCTGCCATATTGCTGCAGTTTTCCAAATTGAGTGATGGAAGTTTCATTACTTCAGTCAGTTTGAGCTGGACCAGAAGGAGTGGACATATAGGAGTGGTCAGTTACACCACTCATGA